TTTTATCCTGTAGGGGACTATGTATTGCCATGCAATACTCTCAGAATGCTTGTTAATAAGATAATACCACATTGAGGTCCAAAGGTAGACTTGCTACAATTCCCTTTCTTTTATTTCTTTCTTACTAATTTATATGTTTACTGTTAACTTCCAGTATACTGATTGCCCATAGGAGAAAGGGACTTGTATAATAACATTTTATACCGACCAGACAAACTTTACAAGTCCCTTCCTCTGCAGATGTCAATATAATGGTAATCTCCTAGTTATAGCAGTAAAATTGTAAAATGGGCAAAATTAAAAAAAAATAATAAGGAAGGGACATGTAGCAAGTCTATGTTAGATTATAAAATGGTTAAGTAGAGCTGTAAATCTGTCATCTCATGCTGATAAAGGGACAGATAATATTACTAACAAACAGATGTTTAAAAAAAAAAACTGGGTTTTTTATATGGAGGAAGATTATGTCCAGTTTTGCTATTACCACTCCAGGACAGGACCATTGAAGTTAATTGAAATTTAGTTTATTTTAACATTTTTATAGCTAATCATGGAAATTAAATATTAAAATGAATAAAGGAAAGTTTGTGATGTACTAATTCCTGACACGTTAGCTAATGTGTGTATTTGTTTGATTATTTTGTAATTCTTTGTTTTTTATATTTCAATGTATTTCATGAGGGCCTCAGGAAAGATTAGTTTTACAGCTAACTGTGTAACTCTCTTTAGATAAAGATTTATTATTACATGTACAAATGTATTTTTATTATTATTATTATTTAAAAAAAAATCTTCCTATAAAAACTACACACAATTTGTATTACAAATACATTTGTAATTAACTAAATATTTAGACCCACACACAGCCCTCAAATTGAAAAGTTTTAGACAACTACAGTTGAGATAAAACCAACATAAAACTTAAGTGGCTGTCAACATTCATTTAATGAAATTTATCAAATTTGTAATTTTATCAGTAAAATTGACATTACACAGGTTGGTTCAGATATCTTACTAGCTACAGTGATAATTTCTGCATCCTTTGTGATAAAACTGGTCATAGATGTCATTTTTTTTGTGCAAAACATGAAATATAATTTCAGGTGTATATATAATACACATAAATTTCAGGTGTATATATAATACACACAAATTTTCTGTTTGGTATTCAATTAATAGTTAAGATCCATTTTGTTACATCTGGTGATCCGTTTATTTGGCAATTGCCATAGGCAGTCAGCAGGGTTTAAGAACATCCATTGTTCGACCTGCTAGTCAAATGCGTTTTGTTAAAATATACGTTTTCACTTTTTTGGTCTTTTGCAAAATGTTGTTTGTGCTGTATTTAGACCCCTCTACCAAGAAATTTGTTTTGCATGCACATGTATAAAAATTGTGGTTTTTATCCAATGCAATCATAGGTTTGAACGTTGTTTTCAATTTAGACTTATTTATAATACACATAATATACATAAAAGAATTTCATTACTGTTTGTTAGGAATGAAAAAAAAAATCAACAGAAAGTAACTGTTTGGTATAAACATTTCAACCAGTTTTAACAAATAAGAACATTTTAAAAGTAAGAAAGAATTATACAATTGAACATATATATATGTTTCCCATCTGTATGACAATTGGCATTTTCAAATTCATCTTTTCAGTTATTTTGCACTTACATGTATCACACAATTCAAGTTACTAAACTCAAGAACAAAAAAGGGGGGTTGGAAAATTTTCATTTAAATTTTACAAATGAATAAAAAATCCATAAATATCAGGATTCACAATTTATTCTTTTAAAACATTTCACCAAGGCTCTAGCAGAATCCCCCCTCCACACACACACACACACACCCCTTATTAATAATTCAGGACACATTTAATTGTTAGTTTATTATTTAGTCATATTAGAAATAACATTCTAATTCTGAGCTGACCAGTCTTTGCAGTTACTCGTTATTGCTTTGTGCTTAGCAGAGAAGCAGCAAATACCAATCTTTTTTTGTCTTGACTTAGGAACAAGCCACCTCCCACCCTATTTGAATCACAACTTCCAGATTCTAAATTCCATGATTAAGATTTCAGTGTTATATAAACAACCTATTTGTAAAAGAATACTATTAATAATCATGAAAATAATTGCTTTTCTACTTTCTTTCTTAGTTTTTCATAAAGTTAACTCTCTATTTACGACAAAAGCTATAGTCAGGTAGTTTTTACTTTGTTTGGAGTCAATTTATGAATATGGATAAGTGTTGTGTATTTACTATCATATTGATTCATTCATGCACAATTACTACCTATTATCAAGAAAACAAAACATGTGGTATTCATCAAAAAACACACTTTTAATTGGAGTGACAAATTTATTTAAAAATTTTGTGTTTTCTAAGTGGTCTGGCTGATAAGCTGATTTTAAATCCATATCATTTTGATGTGATTTCTTGGGGATAACTGTAGGACTGTATTAATGGGGAATGATATTTTGGAAATTGTTTTTTTTCATCTTTTTTGTAAATTTTTTTAAAGGGGCACTAGCTACGAGATACATAAAAAATTTAAATTCTGATTTTTTTGGATCAATCATTAATAAAAGTGAAATAATGAAATAATAATTCGCTTTTAGCAGCCAGTATGGTTCAATTTTGTCAAAATAAGCTAAGAAACATCGATGATGAATTATTCACTTGCAAGTGAATAATTCGACCTCATTCAATCCGTATTCAGGTGAACTTCAATTTAACCCCTTAGATAGAGATGGATTATGCATGATTGATGCATGTTAGGTTATTAAAAGAAAAGAATGTCATCATTGAAAGTGAAACAAAGGTAAATCATTTGATTGACTGATTCGATCCACAAAATATCATTCTTATACATGTAAAATCGAAAATTAACTTATTTTTTAAACCTTAAACTTGAAATCAAACAGACATAGAAAAATCCATTTGCACGAGGTTCATATATCTATTTATATTTATGTTTATGTTTATATCCTGCTATGTGACCGTCGGTTGTTTTTGGGGTCCTCTCGATTGTTAATTTGATGACGTCTAGACTAAACTACACACGAAACGAAGCTACATATTATCGAGCCCATGCCCTGTAAATTGTTTATTTTAGACTTTTTATAATTTGGATTAATGTTTTACATTGTCATAAATCTAATATGAGAATTTGAGTCAAATCTGTGAACATGAATTTGACAGCTAGTGCCCCTTTAAGAACTTTCGTGATAGGTTTGTTTGTCATTCTGTATAAACTACTTTTCAGAATGCTATATATATTTTTTTATATGTGAAGCAAACCCCTTTTAAAACTTAGCTCATATTGTCCATTAATAAATAAATTGATTAAATTCTTGGTGTACTAACTGTACTTTGATATGCAGAATCTGTCCAAATCAGGGTCCAAAAATTGAATATATGGGGTTCTTTGATATGCTGAATCTAACCTTGTATTTAGTATTTAGATTTTGGATTTTCAGGACCCTGTTATCAAATTGGTCCACATTGAGGTCCAAAAGGTCCAAAATAAAATTTTCGTCTGTCTGTCCCGCTTCAGGTTAAAGTTTTTGGTCAAGGTAGTTTTTGATGAAGTTGAAGTCCAATCAACTTGAAACTTAGTACACATGTTCCCTATGATATGATCTTTCTAATTTTAATGCCAAGTTAGAGTTTTGACCCAAATTTCACGGTCCACTGAACATAGAAAATGATTGTGCGAGTGGGGCATCGGCGTGTACTATGGACACATTCTTATTTTACAATTCAATTTGGTTGAACCATATAGCAAATTTCCTGACAAAAATGATATTAGTTAATATCATCAGAAGAGACGAACGCTTTTCATAAAAAAATATAACCATATAAGCAAATAAACATATGACAATTCTGTTTCTATGGGTACCAATTTGATTAAATTCCAGCTAGAATTGATCTCACAATATTTTTTGAAAATATGTAGTTTTATGGGAAATATGTAGCAAAATAACTGCAAGTGAAAAATATTCGGTGCATAACACTGTAAACATTATCAGAACATGATTTTACTTCAATAGTTATATTTGTGCTGCTTTGCCTATAAGTATGTTTGTTTTGTTTAGCTGATGAGAGTTTTTATATAACTTCATATGTATTCAGTAAAGTTGCAGTTAAAACAGAAACTCCCCAAAAAATTATTGAATTCAAATTAAGTCATTGAACACATATTTTCAATAGTTGATATGGATAATTTTTTTAAATTGACTAATGTTTATTTTTAGTATTCCACAACAAAATATAACCATGACATAATTTTTTTTTATTATCTGAACATAAAGAATTGCATATACACGTACCAAGCTAACAGATGCTCATGCTTGCAAAAAGTTAACATAAAAAACAGAGAAATTCTTCCAACATGTTTGTTTGTCACACAAATACTTTCATCAACTCTAAAGAGAACAGTCAAAATAAAGTATTGGCAACAAGATTATATCTAGCATTCTTATTGGTCCCCTCTGGTTGATATTAGATTGTGGTTCTTCTTCATCTTCTGGTGGCAAAACCAAAAATTGCAGAGTTGGAATAGAGTTGATGCTGGCCATCTTCCAAATCCCGCACTCTTGCATTATGACCATTTGTTTATAATTACGTAACGTCAAAATTCTGTTGGCCTTTGGGCCTCACCCATTACCCTCAAAGGTAGTGTTTTTGAATAGGCCGGATATGTCGTATGGCAGAGAAAAGATTAATGTAACTGATAATTTTTGTACTGGTAATTTACGTATGAAATTATTTTGTGACTTGTAATATAGTGTCTAAACTTGAACTATCACAAAAAAGGGGTATTACTTGCGCTCATGTGTATTGCTTAGTATACGGCAATAGCCTTTTCCAGCGCCTCTTTTGCTTTGATTATCTTTTGTTTTAAGGCAATACAAATACTTATGAATAAATTTATCTTTGAAAACTGAAATCCCCAAATATTTACTGATTTTTTTTCCTTTCAATTTCAGCATCAGACTTGGAGTGTTCCTACGAAGAAATCCCATGAGTCGTATTTTCATTATTTTGTATATGGTAAGAAAAATAATATTGTGACATGTTGCAGGACTTGCAGATCTGCGTACCCTTCAGAAGCAACTGAGATCACACCCAGTTTTCGTATGGTGTTTGTGTTGCTCATGCAGTCTTCAGTTTTCTATGTTTGTTTTGTATATTGTTGTTTGTATTTTATATATTTTTTATATGACTGCAAAAAATTTGCGTTCGTATATTGCTATCACTTCGTCGTTGTCCGAAGACATTTGGATTCCAGACAATAACTTTAGTTTAAGTGTATGGATCTCTATGAAATTTAATCAAAAGGTTCAATACCATAAAAGGAAGGTTGGGATTGTTTTTGGGGGTGATGGTCCCAACCGTTTAGGAATTAGGAGCCAAAAAGGGGCCCAAAACAAGCATTTTTCTAGTTTCAGGACAATAACTTGTGTATAAGTATTTTGATTGCTCTGAAATTGTACCACAAGGTTCAATACCACACTTAGAAGGTTGGGATTCATTTTGGGGTTAATAGCCCAAACCGTTCAGGAATTAGGGGCCAAAAAGGGGCCAAAACAAGCATTTTTCTAGTTTTCAGACAATAACTTGTGTTTAAGTGTTTTGATGTCTCTTAAATTGTACCACATTTTACAAAAAAAAATTTCTTTAAATATTTTTTTTTTTGGGGGGGGGGGGGGTCAATTTTTTTATACGCTCGTTTACGGGACGTATTATGGTATACAATTGACCATCTGTCCGTCCGTCCGTCATCAACATGTAGGACATTTACTCAAAAACGCTTTAACCAATATGCATGAAACTTTGGTGAATTGTTTATATCTATTGACGTGAGCTCCCTTTCGTTTTTTATAAATTTTGGATTTACCATTTCCGAGTTTTGGGGTTTTATTCATTAAAAAAGGGGGGATTTTTCAGTTTGTGGACAATAACTCAAAAACAATTTCACCAATTTGCAAGAAACTTTGGTGAATTGTTTATTTTTATCGACCTGAGCTCCCTTTTGATTTTTATAAATTTTAGACCATACGTTTCCGTTTTATGGGGTCTTATTCATTACATTAAGGGGGATTTTCCAGTTTTCGGACAAAAACTCAAAAATGCTTTCAACATTTTTAGCTCACCGTTCCAAAGGAACTGTGAGCTTTTGCCATCACTTGGCGTCTGTCGTCTTTTGTCGTCGTCGTCTGTCTGGTGTAAACTATTTCAAACATCTTCTCCTCTGAAACTACTGAACCAATTCCAACCAAACTTAAGCTGAATGATGCTTAGGGTATCTAGAATAAAGTTTGTGTTTTATTCACTGTTTCGTCAAATAACATGGCTGCCATGGCTAAAAATAGAACATTGGGGTAAAATGCAGTTTTTGGCTTATATCTCAAAAACCATAGCATTTAAATCAAATCTGACATGGGGTTAAAGTGTTTATTAGGTGAAGTTCTATCAGCCCTGAAATTTTCAGTTGAATCTGATAACCCATTGTTGGGTTGCTGCCACTAAATTGGTAATTTTAAGGAAACTTTGCAGTTTTTATACGACCGCAAAAAAATTTTTGTGGTCGTATATTGGTATGACGTTGGCGTCGTCGTCGTCGTCGTCGTCCGGCGTCGTCCGAAGACACATTGGTTTTCGCACTCTAACTTTAGTTTAAGTGAATGGATCTTTATGAAATTTTACCACAAGGTTCAATACCACAAAAGGAAGGTTGGGATTGATTTTGGGGGTTATGGTAATAACAGTAAAGGAATTAGGGGCCAAAAAGGGGCCAAAAATAAGCATTTTTGTAACTTCCAGACATAACTTGTGTGTTAGTGTATGGATCTCTCTGACATTGTACCACAAGGTTCCATATCACTAAAGGAATGCTGGGATTGATTTTGGGGGTAATTGCCTCCAAATTTTAGGAATTAGGGGCCAAAAAAGGGGCAAAAAACAAGCATTTTTCTAGTTTCATGACAATAACTTGTGTGTAAGTGTATGGATCTTTCTGAAATTGTACTACAAGGTTCCATATCACAAAGGGAAAGCTGGGTTTTAGTTTTGGGGTAATTGCCCTAAACGTTTAGGAATTTGGGGCCAAAAAGGGGCCAAAAAACACATTTTTTCTAGTTTCCAGACAATAACTTGTGTTCAAGTGTATGGATCTCTCTGAAATTGTACTGCAAGGTACCATACCACAAAGGGAAGGCTGGGATTGAGTTTGGGGGTGATGAATCATAATTGGGGTTCAAAAAATTTTGGGGGGGGGGGATTTATTTTTTTTTCCTTTTTTTTCTTTTTTAACTTTTTTGTTTCTTTTAAAATTTTCCATTTTAAGTTGGTTATTTCTGATTTATATTTAAAATCAAATAATAATGATATGGTAGGAGATACACACCAAACAGGATGTGTAAATTATTATATAATAAGTATTGTGCAATAGCAAGAAATTTTCAATTGCACAGTATTGCACAATAGCAAGAAATCTTCAATTGCACAGTATTGCGCAATAGCAAGAAATCTTCAATTGCACAGTATTGCGCAATAGCAAGAAATATCCAATAGCACAATATTGCGCAATAGCAAGAAATTGTCAATTGTACAGTATTGCGCAATAGCAAGAAATATTTAATAGCACAGGATTGTGCAAAAGAAGATACTTCCTATAAATTGCTTATTTCTTGACCAATTTCAATGGGGTTTTATTCTTGATTTCATGGGGTTCTTTAATATGCTGAATCTAACCGTGTATTTAGTTTTTGGATTTTGGGCCCCGTTTTTAAATTGGTCCACATTGAGGTCCAAAGGGTCCAAAATTAAACTTTGTTTGATTTCATCAAAAATTGAATTATTGGGGTTCTTTGATATGCCGAATCTAACTGTGTATTTAGATTCTTAAATTTTGGTTCCGTTTTCAAATTGGTCTACATTAAGGTCCAAAGGGTCCAAAATTAAACTTAGTTTGATTTGAACAAAAATTGAATTCTTAGGGTTCTTTGATATGCTGAATCTAAACATGTATTTAGATTTTTGATTATGGGCCCAGTTTTCAAGTTGGTCCAAATCGGGGTCCAAAATTAAACTTTGTTTGATTTCAACAAAAATTGAATATATGGGGTTCTTTGATATGCTGAATCTAACCATGTATTTAGATTTTTGATTTTTGGGCCCCGTTATCAACTTTGTCCACATTGAGGTCAAAAGGGTCCAAAATCAAACTTTGTTTGATTTCATCAAAAATTGAATTCTTGGGGTTCTTTGATATGCTGAATCTAACCATGTATTTAGATTTTGGATATTGGACCATAATAGGTGAATGTCCAATTTAAAATTTTTAAGTTCTTAGACCACATTCAATCTGTGTTAGAAACCTATGCTGTGTCAAATATTTAATCACAATCCAAATCCAAAGCTGTATCAAGCTTGAATGTTGTGTCCATACTTCCCCCAACTGTTCAGGGTTCGACCTCTGCGGTCGTATCAAGCTGCGCCCTGCGGAGCATTTTATTGGTTATTATCTTGAATATTATTAATGATAAAGATAAACTGTGAACAGCAAAAATGTTCAGCAAGGTAAGATCTACAATTTTACACAATTTGTTTATCATGTTTTCTAACTTTAAAAAATCTTCTTCTCTGAAACTACTGAACCAATTCCAACCAAACTTAAGCTGAATGATTCTAAGAGTATCTAGAATAAAGTTTGTGTTTTATTTTCTGTTTCCTAAAAAAACATGTCCGCTATGGCTAAAAATAGAACGTAGGGGTAAAATGCAATTTTTGGCTTATATCTCAAAAACCAAAGCATTTAGAGCTAATCTGATTGGAGGTAAAAATGTTAATTAGGCCGAGCTCTGTCAGCCCTGAAATTTTCAGATGAATCTAACAACCCATTGTTGGATTGCTGCCACTTAATTGGTAATTTTAAGGAAATTTTGCAGATTTTAGTTATTATCTTTAATATTATTAATGATAATGATAAACTGTAAACAGCATAAATGTTCAGCAAAGTAAGATCTACAAATAAGTTCGATGACCAAAATTGTCAATTGTCCCCTTAAGGAGTTATTGCCCTTTAAAATCAATTTTTCACAATTTGTTCATTTAGTTTGCTTACTTTAAAAAATCTTCTCCTTTGAAACTGCTGAATCAATTTCAGCCAAACTTGGTCTGAATGAGTTTCAGAGTATCTAGTATAAATTTTGTATTTTATTTTCTTGTACGTAAAGAAACATAGCCACTATGGCTAAAATGAAACATAGGGGTAAAATGCATTTCTTTGATTTTGAAGATTTAAGCAAAAAATTACAGGTGAGTGATTCAGGCTCTTGAGAGCCTCTTGTTTATGAAACTTTGGTGAATTGTTTCTATCTATTCAGTATTGATGTAAGCTCCCTTTAGAATTTGATAAATTTTAGATTTTACATTTCCGAGTTATGGGGTTTTATTCATTAAAATAGGGGGGATTTTCCAGTTTTTGGACAATAACTAAAAAACAATTTCACCAATTTTCAAGAAACTTTGATGAATTGTTTATTTCTATCGACCTGAGCTCCCTTTTGATTTTTATAAATTTTAGACCATACGTTTCCGTTTTATGGGGTTTTATTCATTACAAAAAGGGGGATTTTCCAGTTTTCGGATAATAACTCAAAAATGCTTTCATTTTATGAAACTTTGGTAGATTGTTTATATCTATTGTTGTAACCTATCTTTTGATTTTTATAAATTTAAGATTTTACGTTTCCGAGTTATAAGATTTTATGCATAAAAAAGGGTTGATTTTCAAGTTTTTGTCAATATCCTTAAAGTGCTTAGAGCAGTTTTCATTAAACTTTGATGACTGATTTATATCTATTAAGATAACCACCCTTTAGTTTTTTATAAATTTCTGATATAACATTGAGATGTTATTGTTTGTTTATAGTCTGACAACAGATTTACTAAGTATTGCGCAACAGCACAGTGTATTGCACAACAGCAAGAAATATTAAATTGAATATAAATTAAATTCATATAACCAATTTTAAGTTCTTTGACTA